GATGTCAGTGAGGATGTCAGTATGCTAAGCCATATTTAAATAAAGGGATTAGGATGAAATATCCTCAGCACAGAAACACACAGGTAAAAACCTTTCAAGTCTTTAGAATATAGGGACTGGGGCTAATGAAATTTTCTCTGGCTTCAATCCATAATGAGATTTGTACAGAGTTAGGAGAATAGTTCTCTTGCTGTTATAAGAATGCCAAACAGGGACCAGCGGTTAGCGTAAGAGCTATGTTGCTGGACGCCCACATAGTCAACTGCGGTTTGAGTCCCGGACCTGGTGGCTTAAATTCACGCCAGGCACATGTGCGTGCGTGCCCAAGATCCTGAGAGGAGAATGGAGGAGAAGGGATTGCAGCGTGACCATCCCCCCTGGGGGGTGATTTCTCGCTTTCTGTCTCTCTGTCTCTCTCTGTCTGGCGAGTGCACGTGCCTTATAGCAAACAATAAACAACAACAAACAACAAACAAAACAAAAACAAAAACCTCTCCAAAAAAAGAAAAAAAAAGAATGCCAAACAAGAAGGCCAGCAGGTGGCATAGTAATTGAGGCACTGGACTCCCATGTGGCCTGTAGTTCAAGTCCTGGGCCCAGCATTTTGAGACTCATGCAGGGCCTGCAAATGTGTATGTGTGTGTGTGTGTGTGTGTGTGTGTGTGTGTATGTGTGTGTGTGTGTCTAAAATCCTAGAGGAAAGTGGAGGGGAGGGGATTTCAATGTGGTCATCCCCTTGGCGGGGGTGATTTCTCACTTTCTCTTTCTCTGACAAATGCACATGCTCTACATCAAAAATCTCTTTTTTAAAAAAAGAATGCCAAACAATATTAATGTTTAATTTCAATATATTACATCCGTGAATTTGATTGTATTTGTGAATATGCATGTGTTTTTATACATACACACTAGCCTGTCTCAAATTCCAAAGGTTTTTGTATCATTTTTCAAGGATAATTTTTTTTTAAGAATTATTTAATTTTTTATTTGTTCATTCATTTTAATTAGACCAGAGTGAGATCCAGAGAGAGAGAGAGAGAAAGAAAGTGAGAAAGCAAGCTGCCAGGTCTGAGACTCAAACCTTGGTCGACCATGTGGGAGTGTCCAGCACCTTAACCACCATGCCACCTGCTGGTCCCCACAAAGATAATTCTTTACTTCTACATAGTTTATTTAATTTAAAAAGAACCAAGTATTTATCCCCCTATGGAAAGTACATTAAGGTATCTTAGTTTATAATTCACACGAGGTGCTACTACAGTGGTTTCACTCTGGAAATCCCCTTAGTTGGATGCTTGGAGCTCTGAAATGGTTTTACTATGGTCCTGGCTCTAAGCCCCTGCTCTCCCCAACTCTCCTCCTTCCAGGTCATTTCCAGTGACTTCCTTGCACACTACCATGATCCTAACTATGCTTTCTCCAGTTTCACACTCAATCAGTAGCTATCGCTTTATAATCCAGGGATATAAAATGGCTAGGAAACCTCAGCTGTGAAATACTGCTTTCAGGGACTAAAAATGAAGATTTTCTGCTGAGACTTCTCCTTCCACATTCATTTCTAGTGGGTAGTGCTACTTCTGTTTCCTTCTCTCCAGTTCTCTCTGTCTCTCTGTGTCTCCCTGTGTCTTCTAATTTTTTGTAAGATGATGTATTCTCTAGGCTCTCAAGCCCCTTCTTTATTGTGCTAATTGATGCCTTTGCCTATCCACTTAGGAAAGGCACAAACCCAGGCCCATCCTCAGACGGATCCCGAACTTCAGCTATAAAATACTGCTTTTGTGTGGCACACTTGCGGCATGTGGTTTTCATTTTTTGCTTTTTAAAATAAAAATCTGAAGTTTTTTATTATCTTTTTTATTCTTTTAAAAAATTTTTTCTTCTTCTTTCTTCTTTGATTCTTTTCCTTTTTTCTTTATTATTTATTCTTTTTTTGGGAAAGGTTTTTGCTATAGGGCACATGTGCTTGCCGGAAAGACAGAGAGACAGGAAGCAAGAAATCACCACACCCCCCGGGGGGGGGGGATGACCATTCTGCAATCCCTTCTTCTTCATTCTCCTCTTGGGATCTTGGGCACACACGTACATGTGCCTGGCATGAGTTTAAGCCACTGAGTCTGGGACTTGAACTGCGGTCGACCAAATGGGAGTCCAGCAACATAGCTATTACACCAACTGCTGGTCCCTATTTATCCTTTTTTATTTCCTTTTTCTTTTATTCATTGGCTGTTCAGCCTCTATGCACTAAGTGTCTAGACGTGTCCAAGTGAACAGGATCCAAATATCTGAATATGATTAGGGTCAGAATATTCCTCTATTCTCACTGAATCTGATGCACAAAGAGTGAAAACAGAACAGAAAAGAGATTGCAGATCACCTCCTCCTGCACACCTCTGAATGTCCAGATTTAACTTCAAGTATTAGGAAGAAACATACCATCCATCAGATGACTAGAAAGCACCACAGGGTCATAAGAAATATGGGAAAGCAAGAAAATACCTCTCCTCCAAGAGAAAAGAATAACTCCTCTTCATCCTCAGACAGTATACTAAAACTCATGAAAAAGTCAGATAAAGAATTTAGAATTTTCATAGTGACAAAGCTAACAGAGATCAAAGAAAAGAAGAGGCAGGAGAAGGGAGCTGATGAGTTCCAGGAGGTGAGGAAATTCTTGCAAGATCTAAAAAAGGAAATGCATACTATAAAAAATAATCAAATGGACCTGTTAGAGATGAAGGCTATAATACAGGAAGACAAAACCTCCCGTGAAAGTATTAAAAACAGACTAGATCATACAGAAAGTAGAATCTCAGATGTAGAAGACAGAATCGCTGGCCTAGAAAAATCCACCATGAAGACTGAGAAAATTGCCCAAAAACATGAGAATAATATATCAGAAATACTAGATACCATCAAATGTCCAAACATCCAGATAATTGGTATCCCAGAAGGCGAACGGACTCATAAGGGCATTGATAATCTAGTCCATGAAATCCTGCAAGAAAACTTTCCAAACCTAGAGAGGCATTCAAAGATCTAGCCCCAAGAAATACAAAGGACCCCAAATAGAATCAACCCAAGAAGATCTTCTCCAAGACACATTATAGCCAGATTGACCAAAACTAAAGACAAAGACAAGAAACTAAGATTGGCAAGAGAAAAACGGCAACTTACCTATAAAGGATATCCCATCAGGCTGACAGCACACCTCGCATCAGAAACAATGCAAGTGTGGAAAGAATGGGAAAATATATTCAAAGTGTTAAGGGAAAAGCAATTTTAACCAAGAATTCTGTACCCAGCAAGATTATCCTTTATATGGGAAGAAAAGACAAGAACATTCTCAGATAAACAAAACCTGAAAGAATTTACTAACACCAGACCAGACCTCCAAGAAGTTCTCAAAGGAGTGCTTATACCAGGAAAATTAAATACAGTCACACAGAAATAAGACTTCAAAAACTAAGAAAATGGTCGACTTAATCATAGGGACAAGTCTAGAGTTGAATATTATATCCCAGAATTTAATCGGGAAGATCAAACCACAACAGAAGATAAAGTACATGAAACTGAACTGGTGAAATAGAATTTTATGACTTTTGACTAAAACATTGCTAATTTTCTTCTAGGCTTTGTTTTCTCATTTTAAGGATTTTTGTCCTGTCTTGAGCTGCCAATAGGTTCATGTACCTACTATTTGAACAGAATCCCAACCTGTTCTGTGGCTTTAAGTTTCAAGCAAAGTTTCTTAGCATTTCTTTGATTTATTAAAGCTAAAACTTCTTTTCTTGAAATTAAAAATATAGTAAAAAATACCTGTTTAATGACCATACTAAGCTATATAGCATCAGCTAGGTGCTACCTTATAGTATATTCATTCTACTCAGAGTTTCATGCCTAAAGTCAAATATGTATTCACAGATATGTATATACTAGCTGAATTTGCTATTGAAAGTAGTTAGATTATTTAGGAAATTTTGTGAATCAAAAAAATGTGGGGGGAAATAAAAATGTTGATTTTTATTGTATTATTTATAACTATTAAAGCATTTTTCACAATGAACAATGTGATACTTTTATAATTATGAAAACAAGTTTCTACACAGGGTTTTGAGTATGTAGTATAAGGGGATTTCAGAAAGTTTATGAAAAATGTGTTTTAATTAAAAACAAACTATAGGCCAGCCCTATGGTGCAGTCGTTAAGGGGACAAATCGCACATGACTGAACATAGGCTGAGTCCTGGTTCCAGTGCTTTGGGAAAAATGCTTGGCACATGTGCATGCACACTCAAAATTCCAAAAGAATGGAGAAGGGACTGAATGTGACCATGCCCTGTTGCGGGATGCTTTCTCTCTTTCCCCCTCTCTCTCTGGTGAGTGCACATGCTCTCTGGCAATAAAGCATAAAAATAAAAGACAACCCAAAATATCATGCAAGGGCTTCATTTTTTCACACTAAAATAAACCCATAGTTCAATTTCATTTTTCTATAAAAATATTTAGAAGTGTCTCTCTTTGTTTCATGAGTAAGAGAGGGAGAGAGGGAGGGGGAAGGAACGAGAGACAGACACACGCACGAAGACAAGCACTCTCAACAGGGTTTTCACACCGTGGTTTACTCCCAGCCTCAGCCAGACCTAGATCATCGGCACACACACACACACACGTCTCATGTGTTTTGGAACATCTCAGACATGAACCTGGAACTGTCCCATATGGGTCTGCTTCGCAGAGCACTGTGTTGCCGCTGTGCCACCATTCCATCCCTTTCTCGCACTTTCTAAAGTACCCTCACATAACCCCTGGCAGAGGGTATGTGTCTAACAAGTATAGATAGACTAAATGACCCTGGTTCTCATGCTTTCACCATTACCTTTTTCTTTAGCTGAGTTTGGCTCATAGTGCTAAAGCCCTGAAGGGGAGTATCGGCTCCTCATCTCATAGGAGTGGAGAAGAGGTGGGGTAATAGCTACTGACCATGAAACCACAGACATAACTTACTTGACACCAGCTGAGAAGCTCATCACAGGGAAGAAGAGCCCATCGGTGTTGAAGTTCTCAAACATCCCCTGGACAGGCTGCCCGTTGATGCGGAAAGAGATGCTGGGCACTCCCAGGTCGAGGCAGCAGCTTACCACATCGTCCGACCTCAAGAGGTGCTGGTTGATGGATGCCACAGCTCTGGGTATCCGGCCTGCGAGGAATCAGCAAGAAGGTGGCTGAGGGACCCTGAAGGCACTTGCCAGGCTGGAGGAAATGCTCAGAGGTCATGTAGGTCAGCAGGGGGGGATTCTGAAGGTCATACAGAGGTCTTGATATGCTATGCCATTTGAAATGCTAGTTTGCTTTCCCTGAGTGAGATGAGCAAGGAGAAATGATTTTCCTAAGTTGGCAACAAGATGAGTCTTAGGGAGACTCTCAAGCTGCAAAGAATGAGAACTACTATGAACTCAACCTGCTCAGACTCAGGCCTAGCACTGAAGAAATGAACAGGCTGCTTCTGCTGAGTATAGGTCCTCTGCCTCGGTGGTGTGTATGTGTGCGTGTGCACATACGTGTGTCTCTGTCTCTCTCTTTCTCCAGTCATAGGTACCCAAAGATCTCACTTTCTTCTATTTCCTTGAAAAGATAAGGCCACTCCAGCATTGGCTACAGAAGACAAAGTGAAGAAAGGCAAGGCCATCAAGCCATTAAACTGTGCAGCATAGTTTGCTTATTTGTTTTAAAGACCTTCATTATTTCAGATAAGTAGGGAAACACATTGTCACTTATATACTATGTATTGGTGAGTTTTTTTAATACTTTTTTCATCTCTTTTTCATAAAATGACTGTTTCTTGATTTTAAAGTAGTGAGAAAATTGCCTGTCTAATTTTCTATCTTATATTATCCTATTCTGAAAATTCTGAACGTAAATGACCAGAAACACACCGCCCATGCCAATACTAGGTTTATGTTTCTATTGAAAAGAGCAAGAAGAGCAGAAATGAGCTATTTAGGGTTTCAGGCAAAAGATAAAAAGCAAAAAGATATCTCATTCCTTGATTACAGAATATTAAGAGAAGTAACATGATAAATGTTGATGATTTATATAGAAAAGTATAGAAAAAAGGGAAAGGGATCCACAAAAACACTTCTAATACAAACACACACACACACACACACTCTCTCTCCTAATTTTAATTTCAATTTCACATTGTCAGTTTTGGTTTTGTAGCTTGGAGCAGAAATGAGCTATTTAGGGTTTCAGGCAAAAGATAAAAAGCAAAAAGATATCTCATTCCTTGATTACAGAATATTAAGAGAAGTAACATGATAAATGTTGATGATTTATATAGAAAAGTATAGAAAAAAGGGAAAGGGATCCACAAAAACACTTCTAATACAAACACACACACACACACACACTCTCTCTCTCTCCTAATTTTAATTTCACTGGGATATTGTCAGTTTTGTAGCTTGTTTTCTTCTACTGCTTATACGGCAAACACTTTCTTGTATAACAAGATATCCATTAGACTCTGAATATTAGACTTTATCATATACTATGAAAAGGTAATTTGAAAAAAAATCTTCCCCTGATGGATATGGGAATTATTTACAAACTTTGTACATATATTTTTGTTATATAATAGTCATAATCTCTGTTTAGAGCTATTTAATGTTTTCCATGGTTGCTGCTATTCTAGTAATAGATTCTAAACTAAATGATGAATTTTAAAATAGCAAAACTAATATGTCCCCCTTAATAAAGAAAATATTTGGTACATACTCTAATTATTTTGCGTGATTGAAGGCCGCAGTGCATCCTCTCCACCATTCACACATGGTACAGAGGCTGGGGCAGGGCCCAGAGGCAGAAGATCCCAATCCTGTCCTTAGGAAGTTCATCAGGGGTGGGAAATGGATATTCAAACAGGAAAGCACAGCACATGATAAATACTGGAATACAGACGTACATGCTCTACCTTTCAGAAATAGAGGAAGGTGCCAAGTCTACCAGGGAGCATAAGACGGACTGAGAAATAAAGAATGAAAATTGTACTAAAACAGAGATGAGAGGGCAAAAGTAGCGCATGGCCTATTTACAGAGTGCCCAGAGTTGGAAGGCTGGAGTGTGGGGATCAGCGAGGCTGGATGACAGAGCAGCGACAGGGTAGCAAAGCTGGACAGGAAGGTACAACGTGGACCCCTGCTCAGTAAGAATGCCACACACAAGATCTACTCCGTGCATACTGGCACATTTGTCTGGGGTGGCCTGAGGCTCTGTTTTTGACTTTAATGCCATCTTCACTACTGAAAATGAGCATTAGACTCCTCACTGTAGGGCCTATAGTCAAAAGTATTTAAAAACAACACAAACTTGAAGCATCTGTATGTTTGGCATCTTCTAAATTTCTCCATTTGAGGAGACAGACTATTCCTAGCTCATTATGTAAAGTTTGAATATTTCAGATCCCAGAATCTTTTCTTCTTCTGTTCAAGTCTATTATAGAAGGAATGTATTATATTAAAACTCAGCAAATCTTGGCTATAATTGACTCACTTTTTAGGCTTATTTTCCCATTAAAAACAATTTTTCCTGCATAAAAATTTTCTTTTTGAGAGAGATTTTTGATATAGGGCATGTGCGATTGCCAAAGAGACAGAGAGAGACTAAGAGACAGAAAGTAAGAAATAACTTTTTGGGATGGGGGAAGGCCACATAGTAATCCCTTCTCCTCCTGGGATTTTGGGCACGCATGCCCCCAGAATGAGTTTTAAGCTGCTGGGTCTGCTTCCTCATTCAGCTATGTGGGAGTCCAGCTACATAATCATTATGCCATCTGCTGGCCCCTGCATCAAATTTTTAAAAAATAGTTTAACTGTCTCTCTCTCTCTGGGGAGCACATATACCCTACAGCAAAACAAAACAAAACAAAACAAAACAAAACAAAACAAAACAAAAAACTATTAAAAAAAACATTGTTTAACTTCTGGAAAACATCATTGTAGTCATTTGACAAATCCTATGAAAATGGAAACACTAGGAAGTCATTGAAATGCTCCATTGGACAAATGCCTTTCAAAGTGTCCAGGCTTTGCTGGAGGACAACACAAAGTATAAAGTTCTTTACCTCTCTGAGGATCGCATAAATGAGGATAAGGAGGCCAGTGCTGCAGTGTTACTCTTCCCATTGTCTCAGAGTTCTCTGCCAGTTTCTAGCTGGCCTGAACCTCAGCCCCAAAAGATGCAGAGGAACTTTCGGTGGTGCTCTTCATCTGTAGCCATACTTTGATGCCCTCAGCAGCCGAGTTCTGAGCTTTCTTTAGACTTAAATATGCCCTAGCTGCCAAGTGTCTTTCTGAGGAATGGTGGCTGGGAGAATTTCTTCGATCTGGCTTGTTCTTTCCATAGAAAACAATCACTGGGATGGACAGTTGTCCTTACTGGTGAATGACACTGCTATCTACCTCGCCTGTTCTAAGAGATTCCAAGTAGAAATATCCTTGGCAACACTCACTAAGATCATTTAGAGGCAAACTAAAACTATAGGCTGAACCTATCTGAAAAGCACACGTAGTAAAGAACAGAACGTTGGGGCCGTATTATCACTAAAGGGAAACTGTTAATAATCAGATATGGTAAATCATATATGCAGTGAATGCTTAAAATAATGGAAAGTCAGTTTGAGTAAGAGTCCATTTCATATTATACTCACATTGGAAAAAGCTCATCTGATAGAGTGTGTCTCATTTTAAAAAATCTATTTCATTTTCTTTTATACAGTCAATCACGTTATTTAGCTTACAAAGTGAAAATTCCAACATGTGACATTTCTCCCTAGTCCAGTATAAAGTTCAACAGATAATATACCACATTTCTCTGTCTTATTTTTAAATATGAGTACTGTGGGGGCCGGCAGGCGGCATAGTGGTTAAGGTGCTGGACTCCCACATGGTTGACTGCCATTTGAGTTCCGGACCTGGTCTCTTGAAACTCACACCAGGTATGTGTGTGTGTGTGTTCTCAAGGTTCTGAGAGGAGAATGGAAAAGGGATTGTGGCATGGTCATCCACCCCACTCCCCCCGAGGGGTAGTAGTTTCTCACTTTGTGTCTCTGGTGAGCATGCTCACCTTATGGCAAAACTCTCTCTTTAAAAAAAGAAAAAAAATGAGGGAACCAGCAGTTAGCGTAATGGCTATGTTGCTGGACTCCCACGTAGTCGACCGCGGTTCACGTCCCGGACCCGGTGGCTTAAAACTCACGCCGGGCGCGTGTGCGTGCGTGCCCAAGATCCCGAGAGGAGAATGGAGGAGAAGGGATTGCGGCGTGACCATCCCCCCTGGGGGATGATTGCTCGCTTTCTGTCTCTATGTCTCTCTCTGTCTGTCTGGCGAGCGCACGCGCCCTACAGTGAAAATATCTCCAAAAAAAAAAAAGAAAAAAAAAAGAAAAAAATGAGTAGAGTTTAAAATTGGAAAATAATGGAATTGGGAATTGCTTCTGGTCAGTTTTAGAAATCTGCTTTCATCTAGAAAAAACAATCACCATCCCTGTGGGTGCTTTCAAGGCTCCAAATGATCAAGAAGGGATCCTGGAGATCCCTCTAATTGCTCTGTAATAAGGTGACATAGTGTGGGAGGGGGCTTGGAGTCATGCAAGGCTACCTTGAAATCCCAACTCTTTTTTAAAAAAATTATTTTATTTAACATTATTTTGTTATTATTATTTTTCAATTTGATCATATAGAGAAAGAGAGAGTGAGAAAGCAAGCCACCAGGTCCAGGACTTGAACTGTGGTCAGTCATGTGGAAGTCCAACACCCTGAACCACTACACCACCTACCAGTCCCTAAATCCTAACTCTTTACCTGCAATGTGAACCTGGGTTTGTGATTTTCACTAGGTTGATTTTACTTGTGTAAAATGGGCATCATGAAGCCCACAGTGATACTGTAAAGAGAACTTTTCTTTTTTAAGAGAAATTTTTGTTATAGGGTGCTTGTGCTCATAGGAGAGACAGAAAGGGAACACTCCCCCCACCCCCGCCCTAGCCGCCCCAGGCAGGGGTGGATAGGCATGCCACAATCCCTTTTCCTCCATTCTCCTCTTAGGATTTTGGGCATGCACCACACACGCCTGCACAGGTTTTAAGTCACCAGATCTGGGACTTGAACCATGGTTGACATACAGAGAGACCAGTGATGAAAC